AACGTTTTTGCAATTTTCTAATTGGAGCCTTCTGTTAAGTGTCTGCTCGCTAAATTCAGACCTAGAAATCCTAGATGCTCATTTTTTAATTCAGTGTGCACGCAATGACTGGAGCAGGTTAGTCATGCCGTAGGCTAGATGGAGAGCAAAAAGCCACCCGCCAATCTCCGGTCAGCAGAATCCGCAGACAACCGAAGGAGTAAATTGGAGCTTTTACGAGAAACCCACCCAGTGCAGGTGGAGCAGAATGCACCTGGGGTCTGACAGTCACACTACTCAAACCCTCCCCCGACCACTACGCAAGTCTGCCCAACCTGGCCGAGATTCGTATAGAACTGCACAGACGTCCAGGCTATGGCATCGAAACCAATATCAAACCCTTCCTGCATATCTACAACCACACTACCTCAACTGTTTGAGTAAGTTCAAGGCCTGCAATATAAGCAAACCACTACGAGACAATGAAAGGCCGTTAAAGAGGATCAGACTCCATACTAGTGCAAAATTCACGATAATTTTTAAACTTTAAAAGTATTTTATTGTAGCCTATCCCATATTGCTCACTGTTGCTAAAACTTAAGCATTTTATTGCTTATAATCATCTGTTTGGAAAACCGCCATCCCAAAAATCTCACACCTCTTTTTTATTGGTCGTCTGTCTGAAATGCTCTATGCATTTAAAATCGGCTTAAAATTTTCTCCTTGCGGTCTAAATGCGAGGATGCTTACAGAAGAGGCTTCAAAATCGTCTGATATGGTAATTTGGATTCGTTATCGTATGCCTCCAGCCGATTGATATGCAAAATCCGTACAAGCCGAAGCCCCGTCAATGTTTCTTATGTCGGAATAATGTAGAACTAGACTATAAGGTACGACATTCTCTTCCCATAAATATTGAAGAATGTACAACTTTTATCCCAATTCGTGTCCCCCTATACCGGTCGGGTGTACGGCCGCCACATAACCGGCCTCTGCATTCCCATGCAAAAGCGCGTTGCAACTCTGATAGACAGGTCCCGCAAGTTTGGTAAGGCACCATTTCATTATTGATATCTCTAAGGTTTCATGGCCAACGAGTCAAAGGAAACGGTTTACTTCGACGACCCTTCTATTCTTGCAAATAAGAGAACATGAACCTGCCTCTTAATTGATATTTTTACTGTACTAAGTAGTTCTTGTTACACATTTGACACTAGGCAAGCTACTACGACGACTGCCCTTGCCTTTTAAACTGCCATGTTTGCAATGGTAGTCTGCTGTCCTGAACTAGCATGCAATGAGCCTTTTGGGCTGTTCAGACATGAAGGTTTAGAGGCTTTTATCGTTATTGCACCCATAAGTACGGCAAGGACCATCATTTATGAGCTGTTGGCGTGACGATATGGACTCCTAGTCCACCAGATGCATGGGTAATACAATTATTCCCTCAATGTAATCGAGAGCGTTGAATTTCTCCTATTCTGGCAAGGCAATTCAACAACAAAACCGTCATAGGCGTTTGTTTACTAATGAATGTCAGAAAAAGAACTTTGTGATGGAGCACATTGTCTTCAGAGCTTGAGAGGGAGGCCGCGAAATCGCCACACCTTCACCAGAGAGTCCACTGGGCGGTCTGTCATTGCGTCGGTGTGGAGGAGGACGGTGTAAGGCATAGGAGTTCACTGCCCTTGGCCACTGTAGGGTAGTTTATGGACTGTAGGTAGATTTGGTGATTGAATAGCAATGCCCCTGAGATGCTGGTACACACCTCGGCATTGCCCACCTGGAAGTGGAGTATTCTTTATAAGGTGAACTTCAGAAGTTTGATGCGATCCATTACTGAGTTGGTGGCAGCACATTAGTGGTGTCACATCTTGGTTGCCTTTATAAACGTAGTAACCTTGCGGTCTGGTAAGAATTTGAGGTCTTGCCTTCTAAGGAAAGCGGTACCGGAACAACTACAAGCTGTGCGCCGCCATTACAATGTTGTTTATGTCCCCCTTCCATTTGAAGTTTAATGCGCTTGATGGTCACCAACGTTCTGCCGATTTTCCCACAATCATTGTGTGCCAGAGAGATTCTTTAAATGACAAAAGGCAATGCCACTCCTCTACCCCTTGAGCAAAATCAATTGTAAAAGAAGAACCTAATTACCAAGATGATGCTATGATGGGAGCTGCACACCGTTATTTTCAATCGCGAATTCCCAACCAGAACAAGATGCTTTTATGCTTTCGCATTCACCTACCATGCTTCGGCCATGATTATGCGCGTATTCCACACTGGACTCATAATAATCGTACGTGGGGGGGGGGGGGAGGGGAGAAGGAAGTCGATTCTGCTTCAATAATACACAAACGCTGCAAAAGACTGATTGCAAGAGGGTTTACCTACCTTAAAGGCCACAAAATGCATTCAATTTAGGTGTCACGTTTCACTTTCGGAAATAAACTTATCGGATATATTCTAATAAGCATCAAAGTTGCAGGTGCTGGATGCTGTACAAAGCAGTTGTAGCTATTCACAATAGGGGAATCCGAAAATGGTCCTATTGCATCACCATACCACGGCGTCCGCCACAGGCCAACCAAAAGACCGTTAGGTATGGATGTTGAAGATGTTGAAATCCAAAAATGAGCACTCCAACTAAGCAGGGTCTAAAAATTGCCAAGTTAGAAACCCAATTTTATGGACACCTGAGCTGGCAAATCTTCTCTTAATGAGTCCTATGAAATAGCTAATTGTTTAGCAAGTGGATCATCCTAGAGCTGAACTACGCGAATGCTTCCAGCGGATAGTGGGTGCACCATATCATGGAAAAGAGGATGGCCAAGGAGGTCTTAAACTTCCCCAACTCAAGCCCTTAAAAGCTGTACAAAACACCAGGTCTCAAACCAGAAATGACCGGGTTGTACCGCACTAACCGCAAAATAGCATCAAAAAATTTTACAACATGCTTGACAAATTGTGAAACTGAAGGTTTCTGAGACAAGCAAATTCGTCGGGGAGTGGTTCAACCGTCAAGTGCCTGCACTGTCTCACTTTTCAGCGCCAACTGCTTAACAGATAGATAAATGCATGTGCCACAGAAGTCAAAAGCCCTATACATGAAATTCTTCAAACAAGCGATCAAGAATTCAACACCTCTCAACAAAGCTGTAACATTATGAACACCAATGTTCGAAACTCCCAATAAAAACACGCATTAGACGACTGGTACTTGAAGAAATCATCATCCTACCGAAGAAAGTGAGATATGAAAGGGTGCCACAATAGCATCGAAGGCAGCTCCATAGTGGTAGTGCCAAATACGGATTCCTCAGATGTGACGAACTCGGGACACGATCTTACCTACACAAGGGAGGAGGGATCTGGTAGATCACCAAATGCGTCCCGGTCACGATCAGAAACAGGAGATTGCTTCGACTGGAGTTCCATGTATCAACGAGAGGAAGGTAAACAAGAAGCAAGGCAAAAAAGCCAAACCACGTGTACAAGAACTTGTTTAATCAAAAGACGAACAAATTCACTGACAGGGAAACCACAAGACGGTAGAAATTCAGTTGCAGCTTCATGTACACAAGCAATAGCGACTCCACCATGAGGGAAGTCAAGCTCTACCTACGAGTTTGAGAAGTGGATAGTGGATCACCTCTGAATCGAGCTAGCTGGTGGAAGCATATTTCAAATGGCATATACACATATGCATCATGCTATAACATTTGGAAATAAATCGTCAATAAAACACCAAACAAGGATTCCATAGAAATTGAATTCATTGTAACTGTTAGCTCATTAACTAGGCAAAAGTCTTCACTAACTGGCAACATTATCAATTGAATTGCAACCTTATGCACCCGACCCCTGCACTCCTGATGCGAATGAACTCCGCGAGGCAACTGCTAGTTAAGAAAAACAGTCCTCCAAAACAGAGCAATTCAAGAGGGCTTTGGTTGACGAATGCGGCTGCGCCATGTAAAGGAATAACTCCCCTCTCCTCTAAAATTTTAGCTTACTCAAGAAAAGAAAATAGTGTTGACAAAATTCAACAAACTCTAGTAGACCGACAGCTCCAAATTCAATTCACCAACAGCTGGAACTCAAATTTTTAAATGGCTATGGTGATGGCCAATACCACAAGACCTAGTCATGAGGTAACTTACGAAGGTGAAAATGTGCAAGCATATGTTAACCACAGACAAATCCACCTCCTGCAGCCGACGCAACACGAGGCTCGCGCAGCGCCGCTGCTCCGCACGCAAGTCACGCCCCTTTGCCGACTTGAGGATGGCTACACTGGCTCGCACCACTGCTAGCACCAGTGGCGGCAGTGAGGTGGTGAAGATCAGCCCATCCGCGTAGCAGCACTCTGTATCCTACCTGGTAGCCGCCGATGACCGTAAACACCCACAACCGAGGCAGCAAACATTTGTTGATGGGGTAAACGCACCGCCTACAAATTAATAAGAAGTCCAACCACAACCGCACACCCATCACCACCCCCTTTCGACAGATTTGTGCTGCAACTACGAGCAGATGAATATTCAGGGATAAAAAATCACAAGTCGGAAACAAGATATCACCTCTTTCGAGTTATGGGGGATTCTTTACGATCATTTCTCTTCTACGGATAATCTTAACGTGGAGGGGTAAGCCATTGCACGGTCTGCACATCAAGGAAATCCACGTTGTTTATCTCGAGGCGAAATGGAATAGTTGACGGCCTGCCTTGGATTTTATCGAAAGACTAGAAGTCATTCCCTGGATAATCACCAACACGTCAAAGAGCTCATTACAGTTGGTTAATCAGACATCCACATAGAATTAAAACTGTTGTCACTTATGTAAGTCGACTAGTGCAAGTAACCACAAAATTAATGCATGAATGGAATCCCACTTTTGTATTCTTCTTGCCATTACAGCCCTATTCCTTCTTCTCAGAGAATGAATAAAACAATTGTCTTGATAATATTACAAAAAATTTGTTTGTTAAATCACAAACAACTAGGGTAGAGTCAAAGCAGACCTTTGTGGTCATCGCAACCTGTGCTCACACAGTCCCCAATTGGATGGAATAAAGGAAAGAATAAATTGTAAAGTGGGTTTTTTAATCTATGAAGCATCTGCACGGCACATCATAGCATGACCTCAATTGGAATTTGTTTCGAACCATTTCCACCTCGACCAGCAGTAATAGATCGTAATGAGCGAAAGCAAATAAGTTACTTTTACCTAAGCTTCCTTTGCGTAACACCCTTTAACCCTCTCTGATGTGTGTTATCGGAAGTCAACTAAACAATGGTGTCGGTAAAAAGGCATATTAAAAAATACATAAGCTTAGGAACGCCTCAAAGGACATCCAGCCTGCTAACAACACTTCCACCTAACGACAAGTAAGTGAGCAAATATTAGGTCATTGTTTTCCTTTTGAATTAAAACCATCTTTTAAATAACCAGAAAAGTGCATACAAGTGCGCTACTTTGTACTTACCTCCAAATGATAAGTGTAACTGCTTTACTTGTTGAACTGGGGTAGTGCAATAATGCACGGCAGAGCAGGGGCTACCGCAATCCTTTCTTTCATTTTGGTGTCTCAGATTATCACTTTCCACTGAACGAGGATGTTGACCCAGGCCGCATTTCTCCAAACCATCTACAGCAAAGATTGTGTCAGAGAATAATGAGACCAAACACCTTTCCACTAAGAATGTGGAAAAGAAAGGATGCAAACTAGAGTTTCGTGATCAAGTAGCAAAAACACAAGTGTAACAACAAAGTCTAATCAGGAAATAAAACAGTCCAACTAAGCACAAACGGGTGTCAGTCGAACCGGTAGAACCCCTTGTGGATAGTAGTAATCTTAGAGAAGCAGCTAACAATTTGAAACAATCTGGAAGGACGTCCAAGGCCAATTTCTTTAAAACTACACATATGTGCAACTATAATACGCTACCGATAGCTTGTTAAAAAAGTAGACAAACATCTTCCAGTAAACGCGTGTTTGAATATACCTTTTTAGACGCAAATCGTTGAGTGAACATGAATCTCTTTACGGAACCAGCGTAATACACTACGAGAACGAAGTGTGCTTTGAACAAGCACAATCACAACGACTCAACAATTAAGCGCTACGAGGTTTCCAGAAGGCCTTCGTGGCTACTGTCACGGCTCGGAGGCCAGGCCACCCGTCGAAGATCTAACAGTGTGCCAGTTGCCCGTTATCAAAACCAGGAGTTAAACAAGCAATTAAAGCACTATACCTCCCTTCCTTCTTGATTGGCATCCGCAGCGCTCCCCATGATCAAACCCTAGCACCAGCCATCACAACATGACCGGTGCTATAAGATAAACATTCACGACCCAATAACGCCAGCAGTCGAATTTGCATGCAACTGAGAAGATGCATGACCGCAACCTCAAGGATTCCTCTAGGCAATTCTATAGGATTTAGGATTTCATCCTGCTTAGGTTCTGCATCGGGGAAAAGGAACTATGTTGGCCATCTTGTATGTCTGGCGCTAGTCGTAGGAACGCTGGCCTAAATGTAAACATACAATAAAGGACCGCATTTGACGCATCTCTCTGGAGATAGGGTTTCGTGTCTATGCCTTCATACTTTGTTCTCACTTCAGTGCTACCCAACCATACTTGTCTGGTCTATATCCAGCCAGTAGAAAAGTGGAGGAGGTAGCTTTGCAAGAACACGTAGACAGCTCTGTAACAAACCTTTCCCAATAGTTCATGGCTATTGTCACTTCGACTGTTAACAGCTTTCAAGCGGAACACGGGACTAGGGTGGTTGCCGAAGACAAGTCATTTTCAGCCTCTCTGTATGGGATCTTCACACCTCCACCTTAACTGCAACATAAACACACCTTCCGTCAGGATAGTTGTCCATGCCGATCGGGTTAGACTTCTGCTCATACCAATGTGGTAAATCCGACGTTTATCTCCTCCTTCATAACCATCATTCCCTAAGAACGAGCCAATTATTTACGGCAGCCCTTAATGACAACATAATAAACGGGTTACAGTGATCACGGCTATGCTCGTTCAGAGTACACTCCGCCCTAGGGAGTAGGTGATGACTGCTCCGTAACGAGACTCGAGTTCACTGAACGCTACACTACCAAAAGTTATATCTAATCAAACACATGTCACAATCTCAGTGCCGACAACCGGATCAAATGTGAAAAAGGAAATGCTAAAAATACGGAGTACACTCAAAATGAATTCATTATGGAATGGTGGCACCAGTTGAAGCCGACAACGGATGGCATAGCAGATAAAAGCAAGTCTTTTGACACCATTTATCATGCTAGTTTGCCTATTAGAAAATGCATAAAGGTTCTGACTAACATAACTGTAGAATTCAGTACCTTTCATTCACCCTTTGTAAAGAGGGTTAGAGTGGTAAAGTACGACAAAAGAGGGAGAATGAAATGACGCGCTGATAAAGAATATTTCAAAGTAAATGCCACATCAATGCATTTTGAGTATGTGCAGTTAGAGTAGACTAGAAATTCATTCTTATGAGCAAAAATTGTGGACCGATACTTAATTTTTAGATCACAATGCGCTAGGAGTTTTAAGAGGGCATTTAGACTGGAGCAAATGTGCATAAGGTTCAAGATAAATGCAAAATGCAAGTTGACTTGTATTTGCACAAGAACCTGACAAAGGCCAAAGAGTCTACGCATAATATACGATTTGCTGGAGGCAATTGTCAAATAATTTTACTGCCTAAGATTATTCTCATGTAGCGTCCCGAGACTCCTTTAAGACAAAAGAAGGCACAATACT